GAAAGACACGCAAACTCCAAATCTACAGTAGGCGTCAGGAGCAGCGGAGTGTATCGCTGTGATGTTTCCTTCATATTTATCTGTTCTGGATGACCACAGCCGCACGCTACTACTGGAGATTTTTTTTATTTTCCATTTGTACATCAGGTATCCGCATCTGCTGCCATGGTTTGTGCAGATGCGGTTTAGGGTGGACCTTGAGCTTCGTAGAAGATCAAACATTAATGGATCTCCTGCGTTGGGTCTTTCACAAGGTGCTTGTTTGTGAGTTCTTTGGAACTCCATTCAGCTTTCCAAGCTTCATTGTGGGTTGAATTCACATTGATGGGTCCAAAAGGGCGAGCGTTACTTCACGCAATGACGAAGGACGTTATTGAGGTCCTGATGAATGGGAAGGCGACTGTTTTCCTCGATACTACAGGGTCAGTAAAATATACTGCAGTGTATTTCACTGCAGTGTATGATGGCAAAAGGTTGGGAGTGGTGGCACAAGAGATGGCGAGTTGTATTCCAATCAAGGGCAAACATCCTGGTCACCCACCCGCTTCACCAACCCACAATGACCAAAAGGATGATGTATGGTCTCTAACAACCCCCGTGACTGACAACTGAATTTTATTATTTGTGTAAAAAAAGTAAAGGTGCTGCCTTGCAATTGCTTGCTCACCCCACTGTTGCCAGAAGAGTCTCCACTCGTGGGAGCTTTAGAGGCCCCCCCCCCCCCCTCGAGGGCATTTGGCCTACTCTTCCACACTGGCCAGGGAAAACGTGGAAAGTACCCACACACTTTGCCCCACTACACTGCCTGCCAATCCACAAATTGTGGTGTACACATTAATGCTGAATGTGTTATGCACTTTTAAATCTAAACTAAAAACTCATTTCTTTAGAACTGCTTTTTTGTGTTTAGTGTGTTGCTGTCCTCACCCGCACTTCTCATTAGCACGGTTGGCTACGTACGGTGCAAAAGAAATTCAACATACATGCGGTGCGAAAGAAGTTCAACAGGGAAGCCTTCAATCAACTCGCAGCCATTGCTTCAAACTGCCAGCACCAGGAGATTGATGCGAACCGGAGACCTCTGGGAAGTCCAAGTGTGCTGCCCATTACCCACCAGAATGTGACGGGAAACAAAGCGGGTGAGGGATCCTTCAAGGGGAGGCAACGCAACGCGCGCGCGTAAAGAGGCAACCGTGAAGGATGTCACGCAGTGCTCGCTACGATGTCGCTTGCGATTTATCTCCCAGCGAGATGATGCGGTGGCTCTGGCATTGCAGCGATCGGTGGGTGTCATGGGACGAATGCGTTTCCGCACACGCATATGAATTGTGATGGATATAAAGAGAAAAATCTAATTTGGTGGGGCGATTGGATATATATATTTTAACACACACGCTTCGTGACATCCTAACCCTGAGTGACACTTACCACTCCGAAATGCCATCGGGCGGTTTCCCACCCTTGAATCATTTTATGCCATTATGTATGTGACACACATAGTTAGTGCCATTGCAGACGACGGGGGAAACTCTTCGGAACATTGTGTGCGGCAGTGTATAGCATCGAGTGCTGTAGGTACGTGTGTATGTTGAACTTCATTCGCACCGCAGGTAGCCAACCGTTGTAATCGGGAAAGACAACAAACTAAACAAAAAAAAGCAGAAATTAGTTTTCAAACTAGATTTTAAAGTGCATCACTCCAGTGGCTTCCTAATTCCGGAAGGAAGAGCGTTCCAGACAGCCACAGAAGTGTGTCTAAAAGCGCCACGATGCAGTTGACTGTCTTTGTTCAACGGCCCGCCAAAAGTTGCTGTGAGAATGACCAGGAGTTTGCTTGATGGTGGTTTTTTCTCCTCGACGAGATCAGCAGCAAAGTATTGTGGTTCGCTTTGTGGCAAGCACACCAGTGCAGTTCCCCACCCTTTTAATCGTTTGGTGCCTATTACGTATGTGTGACACGCATAGTTCAGTGCCATTACAGACGATAGGGGAACTCTCAGGAAATTGTGTGCTGCGGCGCTCAGCATCCAGCTCTGAAATCAGAGTGAGCGATGGGCTTTGCGGGACCGTGCCATTTACAAACCCAAAATGGCAATCGATGAACTTCCAGATTTAGGAGCACGAGACAATCCCAACTCAGGAGAGGGATCAATTGCGGGCGCACGGAACTGGGAGGTAATAGCGTCAGCAACCACAAGCCATGAACGCACAGGCAGACATCCAAACTCTCAATTTTCACCGGATATTTTCATTAGATTCGGCCAAAGAATAACAGTGCCGTTGGATGGAATGCAAGCAACACACTTGCCACGAATGCTAGATGCTCCATCATTATTATGATGATCATCAGCCGTTGTCAACCCACTGCTGGATGAAGGCCACTCCAAGCGCTGCAAATATCGTAATTCACCTAGCACCTGCACACGAGCTGATTTTATCGCTCCATCTCCCCCAGAGGACGTGCTCTCTCAGACACGTTCCGTTCCTTGACCTGCCGCTCCGTCACTTCTCTTGGCTATCGGCCCCCTCTAGCCATGACGTGGCCCTGCCCAAGCCCCGCTACGTATTTTCTCTCGTCTGTGTGTCCACCACTTTGACTGTCACCACCATTGAATAACGAATGGCCACTCTCTCTTGTGTGTTTGTGAATATGCTACATATGTGGCGTTATGATGCACGTGCATTTCATCCTACAGAGACGACAACTAAAAACATTTCCTCCTTTTACAAAATAATTTATGGCCATTAATCAATCCGTTACTTGAGGAAGGCCATCCCACGCCAACCATGGCGGTTGTTTGACTATACTTCACCGGGCTGGTCAGTGCTGGTCGAGGGCTGAGAGACCCAGGTACAGCTTAGATATCATTCGCCACTGATGGTTCATAGCGCATCGAGCTAACAACTGCACCACCGCTCCACCCCGAGACTGGCTTCATTATACGGGTGCACAAACAAAGCTGAGCCACACAAATATTTTGCATGCAAGGTTAATTAACAAAAATTTACCGTGGGACCATTTGTTGCTGCGCAGGGGGGTTAACTGAGCGTTGCGGAGAGCGCCAACAGCTCCCGCTGATTTGTTTTGTCCCCAGGTTTGAACGCTGTCCCCCCTAATTGATGAAAATCCGTTGTGGTCACAGACTACCGTGCAATTATGTTCCTCGAGTGGCGCTTTCCGCTCGCCACGTCTGGGGCCCGAAGTCGTGTCAAAGAATGACGCACGTGCCGTGGACCGTGTCGATTGGCACCCCCGCGATTTCCCGAGATTTTTGTTGTTGTTTTTGTTGCATACTCGAAATGAAGGACGTGGGCAGGTGCTCCAAATCGAGGGCAAACACATCTATTGTGGTAATCTGTAAAATGCAACAGCACGTATGTCACACACAGCAATTTTCAACCGAGTCGCCATTAACCACGTGACTGGTGTACAGGTCAGGTTACTCAATAACCCTGCCAGCCACCTACAGGCCCGACTCAGTATCGCATGCTGGTGTACACACGTGCATTGATGTACTGCACAGCACATAAGGACCTTCACAAACTACTCTTTGGTAATTTCGGTAAAGTCACGTAAAAAATAAAAAAAAATTATAGACTACGACGTTTCGGTGGCAACACAAGCAACCATCATCAGGTAAGAATGAATGATAAAACACAGACACGGGAACAGCATAAGCAGACACACATGCAGAGAGAGACACACACAAACATACGCCAAGCGAGACACACAATCGGTGTGTCTTTGTGTGTGTGAGCAAGACACACACTCTAGAGAAACCCCTAGAGCAGGGGTCGGGAACCTTTTTGACTGGGAGAGCCATAAAAGCCAAATATTTCAAAATATATTTCATTGAGAGCCATATAGTATTTTTAACGTATAATAAATTAAATATGTCTTACTTTTACTGCGACGTCTGGTGCTGCATAGTTTTGCTGATGGCCTTGTAGTCTGGTGCATACGTGGTGAGGTTGAGCTTCATGCAGGCGTGACCCGTGAAATTTATCTTCAAAACTAATTTCTGTTCACTTTAAAATGACACAGTATTATTAAGTAATATCACAAGTATTTTAAAATCAGTTCCAAACAGATTTTTTTAAAATTATTTTTTCAACTCAAAATTGTCTGGGAGCCATATGCCGTCACTGGAAGAGCCATATATGGCTCGCGAGCCATAGGTTCTCGACCGCTGCCCTAGAGGGTGTTTAGCCTTCTCTTCCAAGCTATCCAGACGTCAAGGAAGAGGTGCGAGTGCCCACACTTTACCCCAACCGCACGCAACTTGCCGACTGACTAAACTGTGGTGGAACCCCCACTCGCACTGCTGGGTTGATCAGAGGCGGTGGGCATTTAAGAAACTTGCAACCATCGTTTCAACTGCCTCTACGGGAGATGGAATCGAACCGGCGACCTCTGGGAAGCAAGTTCAGTGTGCTGCTAACCGTTGCACCCTCTGTGGCAGCATCCGTACATTAAAGTTCTAATTTTGTACTGACGATGATGCTTCCCCTATTCCTGACAGCAGCAATGTACACACGTGACAAACTGCCGGATGGACAGAATGCACTCTCTCATTGAGGGCCTTCTGCTCGCAGTAGCATGAGCCAGCAATTGCAAGGTTGCACCTTTACCTTGTACAGTCTCTTCTCCTATAACGCGGTAGCTGCCTTCCTGAAGAACGGCGCGTTGTGGAAAAATCGCGTTATAATAAATAATATAGGGTAAAGCACAGTCTGTGATAACACGTGAGATGCGTATGCAGACTGGACAAAGACTGAAGTGCGTGGGTAGCATCTAGAAGCATCCAGCAGTATCCCGCCTTGTGTGATGCTACGCCGAGGCAGCCATACGACCGCTTACTCCTACTCACACGACGCAGTTCTGTTCAATTCGCATGCGCGTTATAAGAAATGTGTTCCCTAATACATTAATCGCGCTGGGTCCATTTCGCGTTCTGAAAACAGATAGACTGTACGCTTTTCCCTCTCTCTCTCCCCAGGTACATGGCGATAATCCACCCGCTGCGGCCACGACTCTCGGCCTTCGCCACCAAGGTCCTGATCGGCATCATCTGGCTGCTGGCCGTAGTGCTCGCATTTCCCTTCTTTTACTACTCGGAGGTGGCTGACAGCCATGGCCGCTTTATCTGCTACATCTCCTTCCCCAAAGACGATCACGTGAACCTCAAACTTGTGTCCGTTCCTTTTTCTCTCCTCTTGCTTACTGACGCACCGCACGCGTACGCACGTACGCGCGTACGTGTGCACGTGTGTACCTATGCACGTACGCGCGTACGTGCGTAGGTACACGCGTGCAAACGGATGCTGCCGTGGTGCAATGGTTAGCGGCGCTCCCCTGCGATGCGGAGGTTCGATTCGATCTCCCGGCGTGGCAGTAAAAACCACGCCGCAAGTTTCTTAAAGCCACCGCTGCCGCCTCTGTCCACCCTACAGTACACGTGGGTGCAGCACAGTTAGTTAATCGGCAGGTCGTGTGTGGTGGTGGGGTAAGGTATGATTGCTACTACCTCGAGCCAAGACGTCTGGCCAGCCTGCAAGAGTAGGCCAAATGCCTGTGAGAGACTCTCTAGAGCTCTCGCCTAGTAGAGGCTCTTTCGCCAGCAGTGACGTGGGCAATAAATTACAGGGCTGCACCCTTTACCAGCTTTCCCTTAACAAACTTCCTGAGCCTATGAGCCGCAATGTTCACATGACTATGAACCACAAGGCACACACGACATCGTTTCCAACTCCTTAGAGCGGAGAGCCACCAAACGCTCTAGAAAGACCTTCAAACATTCCACTAGACACTTTACGCAGTGCTACACAGCATGAACTGATTGATGCAGGATCCTAAATACAAACCTGACATCGTGTAACTAGACACTTTACCAAGTGTCACAAAGAGCGAACTGATAAAGGACCCTTAATGCAGACCTGAAATCGCTCCTACATCCGCATCTTGTCCTCATCCCAAACAGTGGCCAGATTTGTCCACTTTCACAAAATGTTGTTGCTAGGGAAACCCAAAAGGTCGCTTAGGTCTAGCGATGGCAGAATCGCTGATTTGGCAACGCGGGACACACACCGCTGTGTGTTGATGCCACCGGTTAAATTCTCGCTTCCCCCCTTTCCGGCGTTAATTTCCTTCGAATTTAAATTAAAGGACATTTTCAGAGCACAAATTGACCTCGAAATTGTGGGGGAGCTCAGGAAGATGCAATAACCACTTGCCAAACATGTATGAAATCGCTGCACAATTCTAGACAGCAATTTCCCGTGATCGTTTCACTACACCCCACAGAAAATATCACAGCCGTGATGATATTTAATGCCTCTAAATGGCAGATATACATGATACTAATCATAAAAAAAAATTGCATCCCTTTGTGCAATCTCTGTTGGATGAAGATATCCCCCATGCCTTGTAATTCATGTTGCGTGGGCAGGGGGTTGACCATACTTCTCCAACCTGGTTCGTCCAGGGATGGTGAAGGAGGACTGATTGTGGACTTATTCGGATATAACTCGCCGCTAGTGTTAACCGTGGTTAGCAATCAAACGCATGGCACCAAGTTGATAGCGAATTGCGTTCACCATTGTGCCACCCCAAAATTGTATTTCTTGCACCAATTAAACTGGAAGGATGCACGTTCAAAGTCTCACGTGTGGATTATATTTGTTTTATGGTATGAGGATAGAGAAGTCGTCACCTTCTTGCTCTTTGTACTGTGAGATCAGACTTTTCAGTCCAAGTTTTACGAGAGCCAATTGCAGCCCTTACATCTCTTGCTCACACGACTGAAAATAGAAGGGACTCCAACAGCGATTATATTTGGCCTACTCCTCAACGGAACTATATGCCTACGAAGAATTGGGAGCACCGACACTTTACCCCACCATCACGCGCGTGGGGAACACATTTGTGCTGCTGAGTGGACAGAGGCAGCCGGGATATTGAACCAGTGACCTCTGGATTCAAAACCCAGTGTGCCGATCATGACACCACGGTAGCATCCAGAAGATCATGAGACCGTTTAAATGACATATTCCAAAACAATTATTTCAAGTTGATTTATTGGTTCGTGACCGGTGCCTGTTGTACAGATATTGTGGCTGAAACTAAACAATGAACCTATTTTTAAAAATACTTTTTTTACGATTTAATTATGTTTTTGTTAACCAGGTAACGCCCACTGAGCTATAGCTCTTTTTCAGAAGAGACCTGGCCACGAATTATAGCTCAACGAAGTGGCTTTTTCACGTGGAAATGTATAACAGCCAAATACTCTCAACGCATGTTTCTAAATGTGGAGGGAATAACCGGAAAACCCAGAAAAAATCCACACAATCACGGGGAAAACAAGCAAAAACTCCATATATACAGGCGTCAGGGTCACGATTTAACTCACAACCTCCTGTATACCAGGCGAGGTAGTTAACACCTTGCCACCATGGCACACAAGCACTATAGATGCTTAGAAAATATGGCATTTGCTGGGAATTGTATGTTAAAAGCCCTGTTATTTCCTTTCCCAAGAGGTGCCAAATTTGTATGAATGTCATAACTCAAAAGAGAAGCACACATCATAGTCTAACCTATTATAATCACGTAGGTCTCCCTTACAAAGGATATTGCATCTCGTTAATAATAAATTGAGAAAATGACCTTAAAACCAGGCTGTTAACTCAACCTGCTAGAATAACTATTCTCTGGCCACCATAACTTGCTATAGATTCGTAACATTTGAATTGATCACATTTCACGTCATCATTACTTCGACGTGTGTCCAGATTATCTGCTTATATCGAGTGACCAGCCCGGCCTCCAACAAGCTGTCTTGAGCGGCAGCATGAATTTGGCAGCTGGGGCACAACTTGAAGCAATAGCCGGGCGGTGGTGGTGGCTATGCATGTGGCCTGTAATCCAGCACCGTGGAGCGGCGAGGGTTGGTGCCTCGCATAGATGTTGTGAACCTCCCTTCCCGTAGGCCTCGAGGAGGTGTCATACCCTGGCAGTGCAGAAAAAACGTGGACTCCCCCTGTTTTGTTTGTATGGGATAGAGCGTTTCTCCCTCGCATACGTTTGGTTTCTCCGGGCACTCCGCATTCTTCCCACACGTGAACACACATGAATTAACCAATAACACCTTCATACGTAGAGGACCGCAGAGGTTGGGCAATTGTTTGCACCGGCTCACGGCGGAGACTGCGTTCCCCGCTTGTCTGCGGTTCATCGCACCTCTGAATCATTCTCTCACTACGAGAGTGAGCGAATACCGCGCGGCACATTACAAGTTCAAAACATATTATTATACATTAATATTATTCAATATAAATCGACGACTAGGATCGGGGGTCCAAGTGAGCGCTTACCATCGCTGTTGAACATAAATTAGCATAAATATGTAGGGGCTGAGCGTCTTTAATTGTCGTTTTCAGTCAGCTGTAACTTCGTATTTTATGTGTGTATGTTGAACATACGTAGCCAACCTTGCTCATCAGAGGTGCGGAGGGTAGAGGAACGAAAAACTAAACACAAAAACTTCCCACTTCGCACAGGTTGGTCGACCAGTTGAGTCATTGCACCGATGATCGGTCAAGTAATTTGACTAAGAGCGTCACCTTGTGGCGAGGTAGTCAACAAGTAGTTGTATGGGTAGGCATGCCCCCCCCCCCCCCCATCGCCATAGGAATGTGGAATTTCCATCACTGTGACTCAGGGCTGTAAACAGGATATGAGCACCAATACCTCAAAGCTCATGTGAGCAGGACATCACTGGCCTAATTAGATAGCTCAGCTCCACGTGCAAAACATCGCCTCACTAAATAAAAAAGCAAGCGATACACCCCCTCCAACTCCGTGTCCCTCCACACCAAAAGAAATCTCATTATTTTGACACATCCCATCAGCCACAGGGCCTTCTGGGAGTGCATCATTTCAGCAGCAGTGGGGTCCAGAAAAGAAAAAGAAAAACTTAATCTGGACCATTTTTTTTTGCGTTTCATTGATTGAGTCGCTCGAGTTCCCCGCAACGACACCGGCGATTGTTTCGCGTTAAACACCACCGTGAGGAATTGATGCCTTATTATTGTTGCTGCTGCTGCTGCTGCTGTGCATTTGTCGGTGGCGATGTTGGCGCTGCCCCCCCCTCCACCCACCACCCCCCAGGAACCAGATCGTGGTGGTTGTGTTGGTGTACCTGCTGCCGCTCGTGGCCATGGCGGTGGCGTACACGATCGTGGGCATCACCCTGTGGGGCAGCGAGATCCCCGGCGACACGGGGGACAAGTACCACGAGCAGCTGCGGGCCAAGCGCAAGGTGATGGAGTTGGGGCGAGCGGGGAGGGGGGGGGGGACGAGAGGAACAACCATCCCGATATAGGACCCCAAAGCTTGGGCAATTTGTTGCTAGCGCCGCCAGTTCTCGCTGCCATATCTCGCGCACCTCTTGCGTGAAAACTAACTAACTAGTTATTTGACCAGGTAAGGCCCACAGAGCTATATAGCTCTTCTCAGAATATGAACTTCTGCAGTCGCGAAAGCTTTAAATCGAAATTTAAATCGAAATTTAAATTAGGGTAAGAACAAACGCAAGTTTGAAACATCGCAGACATCGACTTGAAAGTTAGGAATGGTGAATTGGGTTTGGGCAGAACAATGGAGTGGAAGGGCACATTCTCGACACGATTTTCACTCTGAATGTGGAGCAATGTATGGAGCTCGTGCACCGGAGCAAAGTGGATTACATCGCAAAGGTCGCGAGAGATGACAATGTCCTTAAGAGGTCTTCATCCAGTGGTGGATAGATCAAGGTTGATGATAACGACGAACTTACAATGATGAACATGATGCATTCTGTATTTGGCTGATGCTGTTTGGGACATTGTGCATTCTAAATGTCACGATGATGCAAGCAACGTGATGTCCTTATTGTCTTCCACGTATAAATATACAAAATATTGTTTCGTCCATCAGCCTCTTGGCTTTCAAGACCAATGTTATAGGCTGATAGATGGACTGATATATAATTGTCCTCATATGTAGAGATAGAGAATGGTGTTCTGCCTATTTTTTTTTCAACTTATAATTATCCAAATTGATATTGAACCGTCAAGGTTGGTACATCGATCAAGCGAGTGGCTCACAATCAGAAGGTTGCGTGTTTACATCCTGTTTGGGGATTGGGGATTGGGGCGGACTCAGCCCATCATCCCATCTGGCATCTATAAATTAAGTACCAACTTGTGGGGGAAATCAACAGCAGATGCCCTATTCGTGGACTACCCCTCGCTATGTGACTACAGAACGTCCACCATTGCTAAGGGCAACGAATGGGGAAACACCGATGCCTCAATGCTCATCATTTAAGCAACAAAAAATCACTCCCAATTATGCGTGTGTGTATTTATATTTTTACGTAACACTCCATGGCTGCGTGTGCTGCGCTTGCGGTCACCGCGTCGCTTTGTTGACAGGTGGTGAAGATGATGATCGTGGTCGTGTGCACGTTCGCCATCTGCTGGCTGCCCTACCACGTCTACTTTCTGGTCTACGGGATCGACAGTGAACTCTTCCAGTGGAAGTACATTCAGCAGGTGTACCTGGCCGTGTTCTGGCTCGCAATGAGCTGCTCCATGTACAACCCCATCATCTACTGCTGCCTCAACAACAGGTGAGGTACCCACCCCCCCCCCGCCTCCCTCTCTCTCTATCTCGATGCCATGACGAAGTGTGTTTTTTTTGGGGGAGTTGGATCGTGCAAATATAGAATGTGTGTCATTAAAACCCGCCGCCACCGCCCGACGCAGGAAATTGGTCAGGTTTGTCATGTGAACAAAACTCCACCGATCGGTTGATGCTTCAGCACACACTGGTTTGTTGGAGAGTATAACCCACAGCATTTACAATTCGAATACGACGTTTCGCTGGTGATATATAAACGTGTCGTTAAACCCGCCACCACCCGACACAGCCAATTAGTAAGGGGTTTGTCACGTAAACAGAACGTGGCCAATTCGTAACTAGTACAGCACACCGGTGTGTTGGAGAGCAAAGCCACAAGATTTACTCAGATTGTAAATGTTGTGACTTTCCATCACCTCGCTTGACTTCATTACGTCCGAGTCCAATATGCAGTGCTGCATATGTACGACACAACAAGGGGGTGATGATGATGCTAAAGAGGTCAGCTGTTTGGGCCAGCTGCTACCTTCACAGGCACGTTCAGTGTCCACAGCGACGATGAGAGGAGGCAGGTGGGCGATGGCTTCCACAGTGCAGCGTTAAATCCAGGGGTCGCTCCCCGACGTTGCATTTCAATACCGAAGGCGAGAAAGAGTCTCTGTCTTTTTTGTTTCATTATGTACGAGAAAAAGTCCCTTGGTAACTCGTGGGTCAACACCACCTGCTGCATTAGCAATAACAGTCCGGTATTAGACTGGCAGATTTGATTTCCCCGGTACACACCACAATGACAACGATAATAATTATAATAACACTTTACCCAGAATTTCAAAACCCAAATCGCTGGCAATTACAAACCGCCACACTCATACCCGTTGTGAAACGCAACTCATTTCTCGCGCACTGATGAAAAGATTTTTCTTGTCGGTCGGGGGTGATTATATTTGCCGGCAATTTGTTGGCGCATATTGAGTCATTTGAGAGAGAATTCAAGTGCGCGAAGGTTCGTGCGTAATTGCCGTTACCATGAACGATGCGGTTTCTGAGCGGATGCCGCGAGCGTGACGGTGGCGCAATGTTGACTGCCTCGCCTGGTCTACAGGAGGTCGTGGGTTCGATCGCTTCCCTGATGCCGGCTGCTATATATTTGGAGTTTGCATGTTCCCCTCGTGATCGCGTGGATTTTTCTCTGGGTCCTCTGGTTTTTAGCTCCACAGTTAGAATCGATGTGCGTTTAGCGTAGTTGGCTGCTATATATCTCCACGTGATAAGCCACTTCGTTGAGCTATCGTTTTTGGCCAGGTTGTTTAGGAAAAAGAGCTACACAGCTCAGTGGCCCGTACCTGGTGAAGTTAAAATACGTTTTAGTTTAAATAAGCTTCTTTCTCACTCACATGCAAACAAACGCTCTCGGGGCGTCCATGGATTGTACTGCTCGCGATCAACTCGCTTTGTACCCGATTGACCGATGTCGCAGCGGCTAGTACACCGGACCTGCAAGCCAGAGGTCACAGTTCAAACAGTGGGGCAGGCTTAGTCAATGCCTCCCCTGGTGCTCTCTGTCCACCCAGCAATATAAATGGGTGCGCCACAGTGCAGCGGCTACCGATCGACCGGCAGGCCTGCGTTTGGTGGCGTAAAGCCTGGATCTTCCCCCGTCTCGCCCGAGACGCCTGTGGCCGGCGTGGTAGAGAACGACCAAATGTCCTCTCCCGCGAGGGCCTCTTCAAGAGCTCCCTCTAGTCCAGTTGTCGGCAATCCTGCGGATCCGGAGCCGCGTGCGAGCTCTTCGAGGACTGTTTCGCGGCTCCCGACACGGTGATTGCAAAGTAAAAAGAAACCCTCCGAATTATTTTCAATAAATGGTGAACGTCTAAGAGACCGACAATGGTTTGTAATGCCGCATAACAAATCATTGCAATGCGGCAATTACAAATCATTGTGATGCAGTAATTGCAAATCACTGTGTGCATGTGCTGTTCTTAAAATGGTGCTTACAAAAATTGTGCTTTGATGTTAGTGCCGTCTCGTATCCACATACACCACGGCTCTCCAATTTAGTCTTTTACCGGATTCGAAGAGAAAATGGCTCTTCTTGTTGTTTTGGGTTGCCAACCCCTGGTCTCGTTGAAGCCCTTTTCCTTTCTTCCTCCAGGCAGTGGTGTGACCACGTCCTTGCAGGGGCTGTGCGTTCCTGAAAGGTGTGACGACGTAGCTGTCATCCCATACGCTTTACCCGTATTCTTGTACAGGGAAATTCCGTTTTCAGGTCCATACGTCATACAGCCGTTTCAATATGGGCAATTTTTTTTGTCTATTTGTTTGTTTTTCTCCCTTGTGAATTGACTTTGTAGGATGAACGTTGCGATTTCTAAGAGCACAGGGTGATCAATAGGGTCTGAATTGGTCTGTAATACGGTAGGGCACTGATAAGAGGTTGACAGGCATGCGACGACGAATATCGAAACGACGTCAATCAAAGCGATTCACGGGGTAGGTGGTGGAGGCGACGGATAACGATCATGGATGGACGATGCTGTCAGCGACGCGAGTGTGTGTAAGGTTGAGACGACGAAAATCGGGTGGCGGTGTTCATCATGAAGTGGCGGCGTATTTTGGAAACGACGCAAAAGGGGCGGGATGCCTAAATCGGGTTGTTACTGTGCCACGCGTCGGCAACCAAAATAAGAAGAAGAGACATTTTTTCTCGAAATATTTTTGGGTTAAAAAAAAAAACCTCATTATTTCAAGAGCCGCAACGCATGTGAATAACGTCACGAAGCAGCCCTTAAACTTGCCGCACGCGGATCCGGAGCGGATTTCGCCGATGCCTTGCTCACCCCTTTTCCCTGATTAACATTGTGGAACAACTGCTCGGGAACACCGCGCACTGGAGCACTTCGCGGTGAAGTCGCGCCATGCCAGCGTGCGGCTGTTACGTGGCTCACGGGAGTAGAACACGCCGATGTTAACTACCTCGCCTGGTACACAGGAGGTCGTGGATTCGATCCCGACCTGGTGCCTGTGTGTTTGGACTTTGCACGTTCTGCCCGTGGTCGCGTGAATTGTCACTCCGATTTTTTCCTCCCACATTAAGAATCAACATGCGTTTAGGGTATTTGGCTGCAATGAAGAAATAATATCCACATAAGGCACTTCATTGAGCTCTCATTTGTGACAGGCAGGTCGCTTCCGAAAAAGACCTCTGTAGCTCAACGGGCCTTACCTGGTAAAGTAAAACATATTTTGTTTCGTAGTTAAGTGGACGCCACTGTTTGTGCTGCGTGCGCTTCCTCTACGCTCCTGCAAAATAGATCGCTCGTTGTGTGAAACCACGGGGGGAGTTCACATTGAGAAGGGAAACGCTGTGCCGTTGGGTTTTTTGCCACGGGCCAAGTAATTAATACGTTATTCAAATTGTATTACACAAATTTCCTTTTGCCCGTGTTTACATCGTCTGCGTGTTGAGTCATCGCCTGCGTCTATTCGTAGGCGACCTGCGGAGCTCGAGTCGACGCTTAGCGCCGCGGGTTTCATTGTCCCTGTTCCTTGGCTTCGCTCTCCCGCGATGCTGGCGGGGGCCACGGCCGTCAGGCCGCATCCACTGCACAAACCATGTCAGCGGCAGATGCGTTTACTTGATGACACACAAACGGAAATATTAAAACGCTCTCCGGTCAGTTGTGTGACCGTGGTCACCCAAGACGGACCCGATAAACATGTAACGACCACAATGCCCAATTCACAAATAGAGAGGAGGCATGCGCACAGTGATGATACACTCCACTACTCCTGATTCTATTACCTAAACTAAGCATTTTTTTGTTTAACCAGGTAAGACCTACTGACCTATAGAGCTCTTTTGCAGAAGTGGCCTGGCCACAAATGACAGCTCATAGAAGTGGCTCATCATCATGTAGGCATTTAGAACAGCCAAATACTCTCAACAACATGTTTCTATCATATACAACAGGTGTCAGGGTCGGGATCGAACCCACGACCTCCTGTATACCAAGCGAGGTAGTTAACATCTCGTTACTGTTGCGCCCGACTGTGGGACCTCTGCAAAATTATAATTGTTGCTCTGCATTAATATCAACCGTGGAAAGAATAATGTCGTTTTCTTAGTCTAATCATCTAATTGTCTTTGGAGAGTCAAATATTCAGTCAACTGCTTCGGTCTGCGATTGGGCCGCACGTTGCAGTCACCATGGCTTTGACGATTTCAATCCACTCGCGGGCCATCGTCGGAGAAAAAATAGAAATGCTTAGTTGACAAAAACCTCCCATCGCTCGTTCCGCACGACATTTTAACGCCGCTCACCGCGTTCGATGTGACGCGTTGCCGTTTGACACAGCGCGCGTTGATCTCGGGGGTGTGAATACGCATCCTTCCCAATGTGTACTCGCGCGGGCCATTTGCTTTTAATCCGGTTTCCTTTTGACAGAAGGCATTACAAATAGGGACACTTTGCGCATGTTTATGCTTTGAGGGAAAAATCCTCTCTGCCTTTGACTCTCTCATTCTCAGACAGCTGATTATGTGGTTACATCAGTTCCATGCACCAATGTACTCTGATGCGGAAGGCTCTTAAGCAGAGCCTGCAGACCCCTGAGAAACTGAAGCCACCATTATCAATCAATCTTTATTTAATCCACACCAATCAATATTTGATACGCTACATTATAGATTAGAGGATGAGACACCGCATCTTTGAAAGGAGTTGCTTGATACATTAATGCACAGCATATGTAAACAGTTGGGGAGCAGCAGAAACAGTGGGTTTGGGGCGCATGGTGCGACGAGCCCGTTGACAGGAGTTTGATTCCTGGCCGCGGTTAACGTCGGTGGCGAGTGATAGCTTCAGCGATGCTGGGCCACCCCTGCTCCATTCCGCAGTGACCAGCGTGGTGATGTATGGTGGAACAATTCCTCCCATGCCTGACACGACATCTGGGGATACCTTCATCCGGCGGCGGTATAAACAA